CAAATGACTATTTATCTGCAGCAGCAACTGCAGCAAGTGCGGCCACTGCAGCAGGAGTAGCAGCAGCAGCAGCAGCAGCAGCAGACTCCGGAGGGCAACAGCAGGTCGCTCACTGCTACCAGCTGGAGAAGCAGCAGCAGCAGCAGCAGCAGCAGTACGATCCCCAAAAGGAGCAGCACAACGGGCAGCAGCAGCAGCCCGCACTAAAAATGCTGCAGCAAGAGCAGCAGTACCAGCAGCAACAGCTTCTGCATCTTAAACAGCACGAAGACCCCCTCCAGCAGCAGTATGAGCAGCAGCGGCAGCTCGTGCAGCAGCAGCAAGAGCCCCAACCCGAGCAGCAGCAGCAACTACAACAGCAGCTACAGCAGCAGCAGCTACAGCAGCAGCAGCAGCTACAGCAGCAGCAGCAGCTACAGCAGGAGCAGCAACTACAACAGCAGCAGCAACTGGAGCAGCAGCAGCTGCAACAGCAACAGCAGCAGCAGCAAGTACAACAGCAGCAGCAGCTGGAGCAGCAACAGCTGCAGCAGCAGCAGCAACAGCTGCAGCAGCAGCAGCAGCAAGAGGACGAGGAAGCAGAGTTCGCAGAATATTATGCAACTGTAGCGCGCGTGGACCCCTCGCAGCTGACGCTGCAGCAGCAGCAAGAGTTTGAACTTTTCAAGCAGCAGTGGGAGCTGTACATACACCACCGCAGACAAGCTAGGGCCAGCAGCAGCAGCAGCAGCAGCAGCAGCGGCAACAGCAACAACAATAACGCAGGCGTCCCCCTGTACGGGTAGTGGTTGCGTTTCAGTGGCAGCTACAGTAGCAGCAGCTGCAGCAGCAACAGCAGCAGCAGCAGCAGCAGCAGCAGCAGCTCGAAGTGCACTGAAGGCAACTACAGCTGCTTCCAGCAGAGGTATTTAGGGTTTATGGGAGAAGGGTTTAGGGTTTGTGCGAACGTCGCCAAGCCCTTAACCCTAAACCCCCATCTGCAGGCCCTGTGGCTCTTTGCAGCAGCAGCAGCAGCTGCTGCTGCTGCTGCTGCCTTTTTTCGTTCTTTCTTTAAGTAAAGCCCGCGCCCTTTTCGTTTCTGCTGCTGCAGCTGCTGCTGAAGCGCTGCTGCTGGTGCGTTGCTGCTGTTGGGGTGGGGTGTACGTACACCCAGGCTTTGAGGCAGCAAAGTGCAGCATTGCCTGGGCAGCAGCAGCAGCAGCAGCAGCAGAACAACAACAACGGCTGCAGCAGCAGCAACAAAAGCAGCTGCAGCAGCAGCCCTGCGTATACGCGAGGCAAGCAGCAGCAGCAGCTGCAGCTGGCGGGTGGTTTGTTTGTCGTCGCCCCAGGAGGGGCGAAGACCACATTTGGGACAAGGGTTGAGGGTTTAGGGTTTAGGGTTTAGCGCGGAGGGTTTGGGATCGAGGGTTTAGGGTTTGTAGAGTTGGGCCTCGGCAGTGGCCGGTTTGTGTCTGGTGTTGGTTTGGAGTTTAGTTTAGTGTCAGCTGCTGGTCGAGTGGTTTTATTTAAAATTTTTTGGTTTGACATTAGCGTTTAGGGTTTAGGGTTTAGGGTTTAGGGTTTAGGGTTTGGCGGGGCTGAGACCTGGGGACCGCCGGTTCGCGCCGGCGTCGGCTGCGGCTGTCGAGAGTCTGCTGGTGCTGAGTTGGCTTTTGTCTGTTGGATTTGATGTAAAGTTGAAATTAAAATAAAAAAGAAAGGAAAAAAGAAGACAAAAAAGAAAATAAAAGAGAAAATAAAGGGGGATTTTGCTGCTGCTGGGGAGGCTGGTGGCAGCAGGTCGCAGCTGTGTGTA